CAGTTGAGGCGCAACAGCCCAGGTGGGGGCAGCAGCCAGATTTGATTGGGGGGCAGCAGCCCATAGATTTGGGGAGGGGGGCAGCAGCCCATAGATTTGGGGAGGGGGGCAGCAGCCCATAGATTTGGGGGGGGCAGCCTATAGATTAGGGAAGTGAGCATACTAGTGAGCCTATTACATTAGGGTGTGCACCCTAAATCACAAACACACGCCATGTGTATATGTATGTGTGTGTGTATATATATATATATATATATATATATATACACACACTGCTGTGTGTGTGTGTGTGAGGGTGCTGGTAGTGTGCTATGTGGGTGACAGTGTTTTTGGGTGTGTTTGTGAGAGTGCTGTTAGTGTGCTGTGTGTGAGGGTGCTGTTTGTGTGCTGTGTGTGAGGGAACTGGTAGTGTGCTGTGTGTATGTGTCTATCTGTGAGAGGGTGTTTGTGTGGGTCCTGTTAGTGTGCTGTGTGTGGGTGTTGTGTGTTTGTCAGGGTGCTGTTTGTGTGTGAGTGTGCTGTTTGTGTGTGGGTTTTGTGTGTTTGTGAGGATGCTGTTAGTGTGTTGGGTGTGTGGGTGTTGTATGTGTGTGGGTGCTGTGTGTGCGTAGGTGCTGTGTGTGTGTGTGTGTGTGTGTGTGTGTGTGTGTGTGCTGTATGTTTGGGTGGAAGTGGGGGCAGATTAGTTAATATCCCAGTCCTGCTGCCTTCCCTGGTGGTTCAGTGGAGAGTGAACTCTAGCCCGGGTTCTCTGCTGCCTCCCTCCATGCTGCTGTGGACCGGTGAGGTAGAACTTTGATCTCCCCACCGGCCCATGGAGGCTTAGACCAGAGCCGCCGCTCAGATAGCGTCGGCTCTGCATGAGCCGACCGGGGAGATCCAGAGATCTCCCCTGCCGGTCTCAATCCATTGGCGTGCCGCAGGATTAGGGTGTGCCCAGGCACACCCGACACACCCCGTGCGCATGCCTATGGAAGTGAGGGATGGGGGAGACAGCCTACATGAAGAGTCAGCAAGGAACAGGAAGGTAAAGTGAGAAAAGGAGAAGGAACAGAAATTAGCTGGAAGGGACATCAAGGAGCTGGAAGGGGCAGCAAGGAGCTGGAAGGGACAGCAAGGAGCACAAAAGGTAAAGTAGGAGAAGGAGCACAAAGGAACAGAAATGAACAGGAAGGGTCAGCAAGGAGCTGGAAGGTAAAGCAGCACAAAGGTAAAGTAGAAGGAGCACAAAGGGTCAGAAATGAGCTGGAAGGGGCAGAAGGAGCACAAACATAAAGTAGGGGAATGAGCAGGAAGGGCCTGCAAGGAGCAGGAAGGAGCACAAAGGTAAAGTAGGAGAAAGAGCAGAAAGGGACAGCAAGGAGCACAAAGGTAAAGTAGAAAAGGGAGCAGAAAGGGTCTGCAAGGAGCAGAAAGGGATCAGAATGAGAAAGGAGCAGAAGGGCGCAAAATAAGCAGAAAGTAGCAGAAAGGTAAAAGAGCAGAAGGGGCCAAGGATAGAAAACAGTGTCAGAAGAAAAAAAAAGACTGTCAAATGAAGGAGAGGAAAAGGAGATTGGAGCAGGAAGGACAAATGAAGTGAACCCTCCACTTTATTCTGGACACCACATCATAAGGCTTTGGTACCTGGGCCAGGCAGGGAAACACTGGACCTTCTCATCTCCAAAGGTAAAAAAATATCGGTGTTAATGTGTTCACTTTTATTTACTGAGTGTCAGGAAGCACAGAGTGCCGTTGGGTAGGGGTGTTGCTGATTGGCTAGAGCGGTCAGCTGGCACTCTAAGCCAATCAGTAGCTCCCCATTCATAAAAAAGTAAAAATATTTTATGAACCGGGAACTAGCGATTGGCTTAGAGCGTCAACTGTCCACTCTAGCCAATCAGCGGCACCCATGCCTGACGTCAGTCTGCACTTCCTGACACTATGTTTCAGAAGCCAAATACCACTGAGCGACCTGGAGCTGGAGGAAGCCTTTGAGGTTAAACCATTTGAGAGCGATTTAACCCCTTAAAGGAAAGCGAGCACCCAGGGGCTTCCTGGCATCATAGCATTTTCATTTAGGTGAAGTTGTTATGGTGACCAGAATGGTCCTTTAATTTGCTTAAAGGAACACTATAGTTTCAGGAATACAAACATATATTCCTGACACCAGCCCCTTCCCTTTCATGACACTGTCAAAAAGGTACCAAGCATGGATGTCATTACATTTATGCCCCCCCCTGGAAAAATTCCTGCGGACGCCCATGCTCCCATCACTATTGGGCCGGCAGCAATGACTACAGTACACATCAGCCCCAATATCCCATGTGTTCCCTATTAAGGGTTAATAAGTATATAGGGGTGTATATAAAAAATACCCCTCTCTGTCTCATTAGAGATATCTTTGCCAGAAGCTCAAGGAAGCAGGCTGAAGGGTCAGTGTTAGGACCCGCTTAGGGGGGTCTGCCTTGACGTTGGCAGGCAGGCATTCCCTCCAATGGCCATTGGAGCAACTAAATGACCTCCATTTGTCTAAATATACATAGCGATTAAGGAGAGAGCGCAGGTAACTTTTTCTTTTCTTTGGTTTTTACTATATATTGGGGCTGATGTGTACTGTAGTCATTGCTGCCGTCCCAGTAGTGATGGGAGTGAGAGCAGGACTTCTCTTTTTGTATATATACATTTCAATATCACAACTTATATACAAGTACTAAATAACTTAACTTACCCCAGGTGAGGTGCCGCCCGCGTCTAACAGTGTACTGTGCGCATGTTCAAGACTACCCCCGTTAATACCGTGTACCGAAAGTATCACCACTTGATGCTCGTTGCCAGAGGGACGCCGGCTAATCACTTCCTGGTGTCCGCCCACTGAGCAGCGTGCACAGCCCACTTCTGGGTACGCTGCGTCCCGGCGTCTCCCTGGTAACCAAATTCAACTACTAAAGCCAAATACACTAAGATTACAGTAAACCACAACGATTGCAATATCCAGGGAAAAAATGCAGTGTCAGGCATATACTATATAGAAAGTGTATAGCTAAAAGAATACCATTGTAGATACCCATTGCTTCAGGTGTAGTTATACCAGATAAACCCTGAGAGTGTGCCATAAAAACATAAAATGGAAAGCCTTATATATACAGCAAATAAAAAAAACAACTTCACAGTTTATATAAAATAAACAACAAACCCTATTATTGAGAAGGCAAATATGTACCACAACTTAGTTATATATTAGCACACATAGGGTTAATCACATTAAGATCCATCATGTTCTACACTCTGATTTTACAGATAGTGGTACCGTATTTCAGTACCTATGGGGTATTGCAATCGTTGTGGTTCAGTGTAATCTTAGTGTATTTGGCTTTAGTAGTTGCATTTGGTTACCAGGGAGGCGCCAGGACACAGCGTACCTGGAAGTGGGCTGCGCGCGCAGCTCAGCGGGCGGACACCAGGAAGTGATTAGTCGGCGTCCCCCTGGCAACGAGCATCACGTGGTGATACTTTCGGTACACGGTATTAACAGGGGTAGTCCTGAACATGCGCACAATATACTGTTTGACCTGGGCGGCACCTCACCTCGGGTATATGCGCATATATATATATATATATATATATATATAATAATAATTATTATTTTAAAGTGTTATTTTTTTTTTTACATTTACCACCACCAGGGAGACTGTCTAACAGCCCAGCCAGTCCCCCTGCAGGCAGCTCCATGGGCAGCTATTGGGATCATGTGATGGCTCTTTGAAATCGATCACATGTCCCCTGGGGACCTGATTTGCCAGGGGAGGGCTGCCTGGGCAGTCACACAGTCCTCCCGAAGCAGATCGCGGTGGAGGTAAGTACAGCGGACCTCAAAGCCGTTACGGCGTTCAATACCACCACAAGGGCTTTAAAGCCCATTTAATGTAGGACAGCATAGAATGCTGTAACGGTGTTAAGGGGTTAATGTGAAAGAGGTCAATTATAAATTTTTTTCAGGCTGGTTTAAACTGGCTGAATGGCATTCAAAACAAAAGAAGAAAAGACCCGAGAGGAGACTTAATTGTATGTCTGTCTCACATCCACTACGCTAACCCTCTGCTTCTTCCATTGAGTAAACATTGTGCTGCATATAAACTCAATGCAAAGTTAAATATAATCTCTGTATGCTTCTAATAAACACATATTTGATCCAGCTCGCACTAAGCTGGGTCTGTTGTGTAATACGGGTATAAAATATGCTATTTGTCCAAAGTGATGCTGTGAAAACTCTGCCTGTTAAGAAGTTACTCCCTGAGAACAAGCATTGTTGTAGTCGTTCCTAATGCTTAGGGTGAACAGAATGGGATATAGTCTGGATGTCAAGAAGTTCTCTTCGTCTTACATACTGCATGTCCATTCATTCCTTATTTTGTATAGAACCACAAACTTCTTTGTGCTTTGTAAAGAAATTACCATATTCAATAATGCTGATTAATATCCACAGTGTGAAGATGAGTCACGTAGATCTTTTTCATTGATCTATCGTCTTTTCATGATGTACTCCTGGGCAAACTGATCATACATACCAATGTCATTTCTATGAAAAGAGACTCTTTTGAAAGAGGGTACATTTTTTTTCCAAAAATTCAAATAATTCACAGGGCTTAATTTGACATTAGATAGCCATATTGTGGGTTTCAAAATGAGCTCCAGTGTCCCACTGAGCCATCATAGAGATATTGAAATACTGTTTAGAAAGAAGGATTCCTGTTTTCACCACACTATTACAGCTGAAGTACCATATTTTTTCTAACTACTCTGTATCCAAGAATACGTGTATAATTTATGAATTAGTTATAAATTATAAAATAGTGCTTAATAGTAGTCAAGCATCACATATAGTGTTATCTGTTTCTCATTCTCCTACTTAGCACATTTCCATGTATACCCCTGTACGTATTCCAATCTGCAAAGTTTCTAAATGTGTTCAGATAAGAACAAGATATTGTAGCACTTCTCTATGTAGCTGTAAGATGGTGTTGGTGTGCCAAGCTGCACACAAATAAGTACCATCATCGATTACTTGAATGTTAGTGATACTTAGGGTGCACAAACTGTCTGTCTCTGTATCCAAGGACATTCTGGTTTGATACTCATTTGGAATCTGACTAAGGGTGGGCTTATAAAATAGTAGCCACTTTATATTTTTGGTGCGGTCCTGATGATACCAGTGAAGACCTTGGCTAATAACAGATACTCCTTCAACTTCACACTTGAACTTTGCAGTTTTCCCAACTGGTCTGGTAATGGAAACTGGTTGCTGTGTAAGCCTTAATTCTTGGCAGGATACTAAAAGATAGAACAATTACAAAAAAAAATAAAAAAAAATAAAAACAAACAAAAACAAACAAAACTATTAAACATTTAAACAATTAAATTATAAGGCAAACAAGTATAATGCTATTAGGTACTTACCTATACCCAAGATGTAAAATAATGTAGAGTAAGAAGGGATATTGTATGTAGCCATGTCTTTCCAAGAGATATGTTTTCTCAGCACTTGTTCTTTGGCCACTGAGAGCAAGCTGTGTTTGCACATTTCCTTTTCTGGCAAGCCTTGAAAGAACTGTGTGTTCAGCATTTCTAAAAGCCACGAACAATAACCACACTGAACAAAGCATTTGACACAAACAATCAAAAAAATTGTGTATACTTGATATAGTTATTACCTTCCAAATGTTGTAAATAATACAAGTAAGAGTATCTAAACTACTTTCTACTGAACTTAAAGGGACACTACAGTCACCAGAATAACTACACCTTATTGTAGTTGTTCTGGTGAGTATGGTCAGTCCCTGCAGGCTTTTTGCAGTAAACACTGTCTTTTCATAGAAAAGGCAGTGTTGACATTTAAGCCTAGGGACACCTCCAGTGGCCACTCCTCATATGGCTACTAGAGGTGCTTCCTGTTCTGCATGGAGACACAGAACTTTCCTCATAGAGATGCATTCATTTAACGCATCTCTATGAGGAGATGCTGATTGGCCAGGGTGGCTTTTGAACCCACCCCCACTGTGCCTACTTGGCGATTTCACCAATCCAATGCTTTCCCTGTGGGAAAGCATTGGATTGGCTGAGTTCATAAATTCTTATAATGTCAGCCAAAAAGCAGATCGGTGGCCGGGTCTGCGACTGCCGACCCATGGAGAGTTGGAAATAAGGTAAGTTATAACCCTTTCTAAGAGGACAAGGAGGGGGAAAAGCCACCTAAATGGTGGTTTTAGCACTATATGGTCAGGAATACAGGTTTGTGTTCCTGGCCCTATAGGATTCCTTTAAATTTTCTTTAATGATCAATTGTATTGCATAGATAGCTTATCCTTTATATATTTTTTTAAATTGTTTAAGATAAGCACAGATAGACAAAACAGCAGCATATAAATCACTACATAGTGTACCCAGGTTTTCAGTATAACTGAAAAAACAGCAATCAAGAAGGCCCAGAAATCAACAATATTCAGCAGCACAATATAGATAAATGTTCTGAAAAGTACATCCAGCAGTATTTGGATTGTCTACATACAAGACCAACATAGACATGCTAATAAATGTTAAAAAAAAAAAAATCAGGAAACCTGTACATTTGATAATACATAATGGAAATATAAGTTAATCTTACCCTCTAATACCACTACCACTACAACTTTATCCTTTGGTGGTTTTCAACTTACCCACAACCCAAGACACTCTGAAAGTAAAGTGGTGGTGTAGGGTTTCTGCTCTTGCCTCACTGCTCCTTCAAACCTCTACCCAGCCCCCTTCCCACTCTTTCCCCTCATTTGAAATTAATTCAATTCGCCTTTTCAAACCCATCATTGCCAGTATTTATCCCCCCTCCCCCCCGGCTCCCCTTTGCCCTTCCTTGACCATTTTGCTGCCTGGCTTCCTTAACTCTTCTCCTCTAATATTTCATCCCTAAGTCTCGGGGACTTCAACATTTCCATTAACCCACCCCTGACTGCAGTAGCCTCTAAACTACTTTCAATTACTTCCTCCCTTGGGCTATCGCAGTGGGCTAATCTACCACCCATGTAGCTAGCAATACCCTCAACCTTATTTTCTCTTATTTATGTAGTCTCTAATCTCTGAAACACTCCATATCCTCTCTCAGATCACCACCTTTTATCTCCCAATAACCTCAGCCTAACCCCCCTCAACCCGACTCCTATCCATCCCTACCTTCACCTGTCCCTCACTGGCTATCTCTTCATATAACACTACCCTCACCTCTGCCCTAGACACTGCAGCCCCACTCCGAACATGCACCTTGAGGAGAACACGCCCCCAACCGTAGCACACTAAATTAACACACTACCTGCAGAGAACCTCCAGCTCTGCTGAAGGCTACTGGAGGAAGTCTTGCACCCAGTCAGATTTTCCCCATTATAGAATCATTTTGAAGAATCATTTTGCGTTCATATAGCGCAGCCCTTGTCCTTGCCATTCATACTTTTCCTCTCTCATTATTTCATGCTCCTGCAATCCCAGGCATCTCTTTAATACCTTTAACTCTCTTCTTTGCCCTGCTGTGACCACCCCTCAAACTAACCTTACAGCCGATAGCGTTGCATGCTACTTCATCAACAAGATTGAACAGCTAAGGGATGAATTCTCCCCAACTTGCCCCACTCTTTCTCAACCACACGTAGATCATACCTCTCCTACCCTTCAGACTTTCTCCCAGGCTACTGAACTAGAGGTGGCTGCGCTTCTCCATTCCTCTCGCTCCATCACTTGCCCGCTCGATCCTGTCCCATCTCACTTTATCAGATCTCTCTTCCCTTGTCTTGTGCCTTCCTTAACAAACATTCTCAACTACTCTCTCTCTCCTGGTATTGTCCCTGCTGACCTTAGACATGCCACTGTAGTTCCTAAAAAAGTAGTAGAAATTGACTAGGCCAAAGGTAGTGGTTATTCCAGACTTGAATATACCACCCTCCTAGGGGTCAGTCACACCTTTGAATGACACTCCAGTGGTGTCAAGGGGCATAACCCCAAAATGGAAGTACTAGAAAATGACTTTCCTGTTACTGGTCACTGAAACCAGAACCAGGACTGTCAGCTGGACAAAATATTAGTAAATAATAAATAATTAAATCAAAATTGCCATCAATATGTCGGAATATAGAGAGGGTTCATACGTAGATTCAAGTGATTAAAATAGCCTAAATGGCTCTTCTCCTGTCTAAAGGACTCTTAGACGTAAAGAATCTATTTGAGACTCAGGACTTTAATATAATCAACCATAGTATGTCCATGTCAACAGTAAAAGCGGTTGTAGAATGAGCCTTTAAATTGACTCCTGTAATCTAGATGGAAAAGACAATCAGTCAAAGAGGAACTTTGAATAGTGGCTGTATATAAAGTAACACTTGTAGCAAAGCCCGCTGTATCAAAAAAGCTACAATAAGAGTGTAGTTAAGCAATCAGCAATTAAGGATAACAGCATTTAACTGGATACCAAGTAACATATAATAAAAGGAAAAAAGTCTACATAAAAATTCGTAGATTAATCACAAAATATGTCATAAATGATAAATCCTAAGTTAGTGGTTCCTAAATCGCTATGGGGTACAAAGAGTATCTGTTGCCCCCTCAAATACATACAGAGCCAGTCCAGATTCCTCAATCAAATAGATAGTTCCAATCTAGATAGCATATCAGGAGTGACAGGAGGAAAAGGTGAAAAATTAGGAAATAATAGTGCTAATGTGTAGAACCATGCTTAGAGTGCTGGTTACCTACACATCGTGAAATAGTGCCCTAGAAGTGAAAATAAAAAGTGAGTGAAAGTGAAGGAGAAAAACCTCCTTCAACCCGACGCGCGTTTCGGTGCTGTGATGCACCTTCGTCAGGGGCTGAATTCGTTATGGACCCTAGACCTTGTTTAAATACCCCTGGTATTGTAACTGTTGAGAGGATTCCACCAATCAGGGTTCCTATGTGGACCGTCAGTCGGCGCCAAAATGACGTCAGAATATGCTAATTCAGGGTTAAGTCCACCTCTACATTGTGTGGTTTATATTTAACCCTGTACAGGGTTATATTTAACCCTGTATGTACTCATTGGATGGAGTGACTTGCTTCATAGAATAGAGAAAGGACGAAGGTGAATATATCTGTGTAAATTTTATAATCAGAGACGGATGATTCGTCAAGACATTTGTATCATGTAAAGTGAGTGTATTGCTATCGCAAGGCATTGTTTGAGAAGTAGACGGTTCATCATGGGTTATCTGGACGCCTGTAGGATCATGAGAATGGGTAGAGAGGCTTTGAGCGAAAAACCTCTAAAAAGTGGAAATAAGGGATTTTAACCCTCGCTTAGCCATGGGGACCTAATACCTATCCCAGGATATCATAAGGAATATATAAATATGGGCGGTCAGGTTAACTGTACTTCCTATTAGGGTAATGATCATTTCATTATCAAGCCTCATTCTCGATTTACGGGCGGAATTAACCCCCGCTATACTGTTCTTAGCAGTCATGTGAAAATAGTAATAGCTGAGCTTATACCCAAAATTCCCATGTGCGGGTATTATCAAATGGCTTGGTGATCGTAAATAAATTGCCAGATACTCATATACCAGTGTGTCTACATAAATACTAGGTAATGAATGCCTCTGATATACATAATCAAATATTGAGGCTTTTTATAATGCAGATAAATTCGTCAGTTCTTATTCTTTCTAAATGGAGATTAGTATTTCGATAATCGAAATTTGTCCAGCCATTCCCGTTGGCAGTATCAATTCAAATTGTCAATTTAGATGGCTGGTACGTTGGGCTAGTCCATATATCCATATAACGTGTATAGTATTATAAATAGGAGATGGAGGGAAAAGTAGCATACGACATATTAAATTTTAAGTAATTTATATAACTTTTAATGGATCATGTGTCATCATGGGATCAGAGTGATCGGTCATGTGTAAGTCTTACTGGACATAATTTACTCAAATGAGTGAGTTATATAGTATATTTAAAGTGTATCCAGAAGATACCCACTAGACAGGCTATAATAATGAGGGCTGTATACCTTCTTTGAGCCACTAGGGGTCAGTCACAGACATACCAGGGGTAAATTTCCATATTGAATGTATCTAAGTGGTATTTACTCTTTTGATGGATTAATTTCCAATTATTAAATAGTAAATTAATGAAGTGTTGCTAGGGAAGAACCGGTATTTAATCAGGGATAAAGGGAGTGTATGAAAATCCTTCGTTAAGGCCCAAGGGGGATAAAGTTTTTAATTTAAATATCCAGA